CCATTCAATTCTCAGTGCCGAATTTGCACACTCAACGAGAAATTCTCTTATTTCGCTACGGTTGAGAATTCGTATCGTAATTTAAGTGAATTTGAGCAGCAGCCGCACGACGTCAGGCGGCGCTTTGACTTCATATTGACTTTTGTCTTTTATATTCGGAAGTGTTCTGCTTCTTATATTTTAAATACTCTGTTTCCCAATACACAATGAAAGATTATGTGGATGCATGCTAAAAGCTAGAAACTTTAAGCGTCGGATATGTTTGAGGTTAGACGTGTCATGAATAATCGCAAAACTATACGAAAATATATCTTGTATATTGTATATATTCTTTTTTCTGCCAGCCAGCCCTCTGGGATTGGCTTAATGGCCAAGAGAGCATTATAATATATACTTGATAAAAGATTATTCCAATTTCTTTAAAATATAATTTTAATACAAATATTATTAAAAGATGAAGTTATAAGATGACTGTTTGAGAGTCATGATTATGTGTTTGTAAAAGCTACAAGGTTTTTAGCTAGAGCTTTGGGGCAACAGTTTTAAAGTGACCGGTTGGCAGGCACAGCTTCAGAGTGACCTTCTCGGAGTCACAGTTTTGGCGTGAGAGTCTTAGAGTTACCATTTCAGAATCACAGTTTTGCAATAACCATTTCAGAATCACCGTTTTAGACAAACCACTTCAGAGTCACAGTTTAAAAGATACACTTATAAAATCACAGTTTTGGAGTAACCATTTCAGAGTCACAACTTAAGACCCAGAGTCCCAAGCTTAAAGGTACCATTTTAGAGTTTAAGTTTAAATATAACCATTTCAGAGTAACGGCTTTAAAGTAACAATTTCAGAGTCACAGTTTTGGACAAACCATTTCAGAGTCACAGGTTTGGACTAACCATTTTAATGAATGTTCCAAAGTAACCGTTTCTAAGTCACTGGTTTGGAATAACCATTCAAGGCCTTGCAGTATTTCAGAGTCACAGTTTTAAAGTAACCATTGAAGAGTCGCAGCATGTAATGCTTTGTTTAAAAGTGCAAATCTGAGAGGCACAGTTTACAATGCGTACCAAAGAAAATACCGATCAGAGTCGCAATTTCGAATGCTTCCAATGACAGTTTTAGTGTAAGACACATCGTCTCGCCAGCTTTTAGCTGGCATTGGGTTAAGAGTAAAGTATGGCACAGTCGAAAGAATCCAGTTCCAGCTACTTAAATAGTTCTTCTACTTTCTGGTTGAGCATTTCATTCGGTTGCACTAATGGACGCTGCCAGTTGCACAATGTTGGTGGCATGAGCCGAAAGTTTAACAACTTTTGATTGGAAGAGCGGCAAGAATGTTTGAGAGTCGGGCGTGTTCGACTGAGAGTTACCCTACAGTAAAACTTAAATTTTGGCAAAAATGGAGGTTGAAATAAGCGGAAATGCAGGCACGACGAACGGACAGACAGACAGAGCCAGATCGAATGTACTGCCTGTTACACACACAGGCACAACACCCAAATACCCATGATTTACAGCATTGTCAATGGGTACAGGGTATGCAAAAGAAAGAAGGAAATAGAAGCCTTGCGCCGGGCTTTTGTCTCAAGTTGTCTCTTTGCAACAAAATGACGAACTTGACGGATGCCCGTCACACACACACACACACACACACACGCAGAATTCAAGGACATTTGTCAATGCGCAAAATACTAGATAGAACCAAATAGAGTCTGCCCTAAGCGCAACCGAAACCAAAACCAAAACCAAAACCAAATTACACATTAAAATAACATTTGATGAAGCATTTCAAAAAGCCAAAAACAACAAAAATTCACATATGAAAGTCATAAAAGTAAAAACACACACAAACACACAGACACACAGACACAGACACGTACTAGAGCATTACGCCTATGGCTAGTGTATAGAGTCTGGATTCCTGCAGTGTTATGAATATGAAAATGATTTTTAATGAGGCGACACGTCGAGAAACTTGCGTTGTATCTGTCTACAAGTAAAAATTTCTCTAAGATACAGCTGCAAAATTTTGGACGCTCTCGAAACGGCTTTTTGGATTTACGTCACAACCGTTTTATGGCTCTTTAAATACTAATTAAAGACAAATCACAAAAAAAAATAAAAATAAAACAAAAAAATAAGAACAATAAATAAATATCAAACAAAATATTTGCGTGTGTGTTGTTTTTTTTTTCTCTCATTCAAATTCAAATATGTAATGCAATTTGGCCGCCAAAAATATTGAATAGAGTTTTTGAGGGGGACGGGGCGGTTTGTTGGGGCGTGTGCGGCACCTACCTCAAATCGTGGCACAGCAGCGCAGCATCAACAAGCAGTCACCAGTTAAACAAACAAACCAAAACAAAAAACAAAAAAAATAACGAGTATTTGCCCAAAAATAGCAAATTTTTTTTTGAAAAAAACTTCTTTTAAGCTTTCAGAAACTAACGAGAGTCGAAAGATTTGGGAAACGTTTCGCTGAAGACGGCGACGCGACGCGCAGAGGATGTGTCGGGCATAGCCAGGCAATCTGTGTAGAAGAAGCACCAGTTAAAAAAAAAAAAAACCAAAAAAAAAAATTTAAAAAAAAACCGTTTTGTTTTTTGCTGTTTTCTTGCTTCTTTTTTCTTTGTTCTTTTCTTGTTTTCTTTCTTTTTGGGCTAGTTGTTTTTGAACCGTTAGGCGCTATGCAAATGTGCGTTCTTCCTCTTCCTCATGCATTGCACGACGACGGCGATGGCGATGGCGGTGGCGGCGGCGCTTGCGTTGGCTGCTGTGATAGCGGCGACGGCGACGACGACGGCGGCGCTAACAACGGCTACTAACACAGGGCGAGCGCACGGCTCGACAGGCTCAACGGTCAACTGCTGCGTGCTGCGTTTTGCGTGCTGCTGCTGCTGCTGCTGCTGCTGCTGCGTGCTGCTGCTGCTGCGTGCTGCTGCTGCGAGACGTTGCGTTCGCGTTCGCGGCTCTGTACATCGCGGCGTATACCCAACGACTATTGGACACAGACGCAGCGGCCGTGCTGGAGACCCGCCAGAGCGTTGCCGCTGCACGGTTCGGCAAACGCACGACGCGGCCGCTGAGCGAATCCGAAACGTAAATTGGCATCCGAATCGGTGTCCGAATGCAGTCGCAGTCGCAGTCGCAGTCACAGCCAACATCGGCAGCTGATGATGCTTTCACCTTGAGCTTTTGCCACTGCCGTGCTCTATGCCTAATGCGATTTTTTATCTTTATCAGCAGCGGCAGCGCCAGCGGCTGCGGCTGCGGCTGCGGCAGCGTCTGCGTCGGCATTCGCTTTCGATATCGAAAATTGAAAGCTTATGCGCCGCAACATCCGAATTTGAAGGTCAGGCGGCTTGAGCTTAAGCTTTTATAAGTTATTCGAGCCAGTAGGCGCAACAATCCGTTGCAAGTGGCGCAAAAGTGTGTGCCAAAATGCCGGCAAAGCTTTGCGACACGAAATCCTTTTGCTGCGACGTGGAAGTAAATGGGCCAACGCAGCAGCCGCAACGCACTGCAGCGCATTTTCGAAATTCCAAATTCCATGCACATAAGCAAACTAAAAGCTCTTGACAATAGCTTTCAGAAAGCTTTGGGCAACCACCAATATTTCAAAGTATCCGCTCAAAATTGAACATCGAAATGAGTTCCATTTAAAATTGTACTATTCAGTTCATGAATTTAAAAAAAAAAAATTAAATAAAAATCCGGTAAGCAATCAATTTATCAAACGTGTAAAATTGAATCGCTTTTTCATGAGGCATTAACAAATTTTTCATCGCGCTTTTCGGAAAATTTACCTCCTTGGGTAGAATGAATAATATTTCTAGATTAGGATGCCAAATTTATCTAGAGGCCAAACCATGAACAAAGAGCCAAACCTGATAAAAATTGGCTGTGATTTGACCGAGTTATGCGGCTGGAAAATTTTGAGCTATATCTAAGGGGACATTTGAGGATACTATTTTTACAAGAATTTTGACCAAAAATAATGTTGCCAGATTTAGATGCCGAATCGATCTAGAGGCCAAACCATAAACAAAGAGCCAAATCTCGTGAAAATCGGTTGAGATTTAACCGAGTTATGGGGCTGGGGAATTTTGATCACAAATCAGTTAGTCAGTCAATAGAATCAGTTTTCTATAAAGAGATCTATATGCAATACATATGAATATGTAAATGTAAATATGAATGTATGCATAAACATAAATGTATTGCCTTTATGCTTTTCTAATTTAAAATAGTGCCCCACTATGCGATTCTCATTATTGTCATAAGAAGAAATTGTGTTGTTAATCTAATATATAACATCTCTTCCCATACTTCGTTTCTTACATGCTCTCTCTCCCTCTCTCTCTCTCTCTCTCTCTCTCTCTCTCTCTCTCTCTCTCTCCCTCTCTCTCTCTCTCTCTCTCTCTCTCTCTCTCTTTCCCTCTCTCATTCACATGCACTCCCTCTCTTACATCTACTCTCTCTCTCACTCACTCAAACACTCTGCCTCTCTCTGGCTCTCTCTCTCTCTCTCTCTCTCTCTCACATGCATACTCTTTGATTTATTTATAATGATATGAATTTGAATATATATTAGTCCTGACCTGAAGACTTTTTATATCCTTGAGTGTGTTCTATACAAAAAAAATTCACAATTTCCGTGTGTAAAATAAATACAGAAGTTCCATTTAATTTATACTGAGCTTATGACTTGTTCAAGCCAATTAAGCCAACAAAAATGGGGTTTTTCGAAAATGGTATATTTTAAGATAATTTAATAAAATAAAAGCTCTTCCAAGAATATATAATGAGCTTTAATTCGCTTATAAATTCCGTAAAATACTTTTTTTTTTTTTTTTAAAGATGTTCAGTCACAAAAGCTCATTGGAAATTGTTAGCCTCTGGCTAAGCTTGCCGGCTGTCATGGCAACGGGATGGATGCCCCGGAAGCCGTTGCCTTGGGAATAGAAAACAAGCAACAGAAAATCAACAGTTGCCAGGCGAAGCCTATCAAAGCATTTTCCTTAACATATTATTGAATTCCTACACTGAAAATCGGAAGTTATATGCGGCCTGTGGTGGTGCGTATTGATCAGCCGTAAAGTGCATATCGAGCGGGAGCAGCATGGAGGCCAGCGCCAACTCCGCCGAGAAATCTGGAAACGAATCCGAGAAGGGCGAAAATGCCGAATACGAGGATAGCCAACAACGTGAGAGTGATCCCCAGAATCCAAGCCATTCGCCCAGTGCACTAAAGGGGGACAAATCGCGCAAGAGCAGGCGGGGCGTGCGAGCGGTATTCAAGGATCGACCCACCAAATTTATCGAAGATGACAGTCTTAAGATCAAGACGGGCGCCTCACTCATACCCGATCTGAATCTGATAATAAATCGTATGCGCAACATGAAGGACGACAGCTACGTGTATCTGGATTACATGCTGCCCAAGCATAGCGAGTACTTTACCCCGTACAGCCTGCGCGAGGTGGAGTTTGCGAATTTGAATATATACAAGCCCTACTATACGGTCACACGGCATGGCGTCACCTATTGGCGTGTATCTGAGAATTTTTTCACACCGCTGAATCAGTGGCAACAGGAGTTCCAGCAATTCCTGAGCATCATCCAAATTCGCACATTCTCCATCTTTCGTTTGTGGAAGGGCTTCAAGGTGTGGGAGAAGACGATCAAATGGCGCAAACTGAGCTTTGCCCGCACCCATTTGCAGAACAATCTCTTTATCGTTATACCCCAGCTGGCCAAGGCGATTCTACGTATGCGCTCCGATATTGTTGTATTGGAGCGTCTCAGCTTTGTCAATATTGAGAATATCGAGGAATGGCATCCCTTCTATTTCCTTGAGCTACATATGCGCATCTATGAGCAGCTAAACTATCTATTCCATGAATTTCGCAGTTTTGTGGGCAAAGCTCTATGTGAGTACAGACCAGTTATTCCCAGATCGAATTCTCTAATCGATACCAACAACACAACACAGATCGTTCCTGCACAGAGGCCATTATGGCGCGCGGTTTCTATCCGGACGATGAGATCAATTATTATCCCTCAGTCAAGAAAATGCGAGAAGCACACAGCTTTATGGATCGTGCGCGCAAGCGGGCCTTCTGCAAAACGCTAACCAAGTAAGTTATCTTCTCTTTAAGGAGGCCATCTCCGTGCCAATAAAACATAGGCATATGGCCTCTCACATACCCTGCATAAGCCAAGTGTATTTCGACTTTCGATACTGAAGAAGTTAAAAAAGATAAATCTCCATCAATGGGCCTATCTCTATCAGCGCCCCAAAAAACACTCATTCTTTAACATATCTTAGCTCTAAAATTTTCATAATAATCTGAGTCTGAGGCGGAATTTTGAGATTTTTTTTGTGAAAAAGTAAGGACAATGCGCACAGGGTATCTCATAGTCAAGCACTGCCGCTTAGACCATGCTAAATTATATATAGCTCCTTAATACTAAAGGCGAAACGATAATAATTCAAGAATCATCGGCAATCCAAACTTGTGTAGAGGGTATCCCCATAGTCGAGCACACTCAACCATTCTAAATGTTTCTGCTCTTAATATTCTTCACATACACCGACAGTTTTCTCACCTTCTGCGATATGATGCTGTATCAAGCGCTCTATCGGGTGACTATTCAGAGCTTTGAGGAACTGAATCATGCGTTCAATGAGCATCACCAGGTGGCGCCAACGGAGGCGGAAATAGTGCGTCACGATCGTTTGGATACAAAAATCGAGAAGCCGCGACCGCCGAATGCGCCACAGAATCCATTCTTTCTCGCTCAGCTGCGTCTGTTGCCCGATCGCATCGAGGTGGAACCCTTGGAGGAGATCTTAAGGCTCATCTTTCAGCGCATTACAGGCTTGATCTTGGAAACAGTGCTGGATATACAACCGTTTACCACAGATGCCGAATTTACACAGTACACAAAGTAGGTTAAACCAATAAACAGCAACAATATCGAACCAAACAAATCTAATGCGAATTAAACTGAATCTAGGCCATCGATCATGGGCCGTCAGGAGGAGTGTCTGTATCAGAGTGCGCCGGAGTTGACCTTTCTGTTGAAACAAGATGTTTCGTTCAATTTCAATCGGTGAGCTTGGTCACCTGTTAATATTTATTAATCCAACCTTCTTCTTAAATCCCATGGCCGCAGTAAAAATATATTCGTTTTGATACGCACGGCATACGAGATGGCGCGTCTTTATACGGAACGCTTTAATGACATACGGGAGAACTATGAGATTGATGCTACCACGGATCCCGAGGATCTCAGTAGCGAGCGGGGTAAGAATATTTAGAATGCGATAAAAAAAAATAGAAAGAGCTCACTCTTCAATTTGCAGACCTTACTGCGCTGCGCAACTATTGTGATCGCTACTGCAACAATGTGAGAGCCTTGGATGGTATTCTGGATCATGTATTTCTGGGTCTCTTAAAATTAGGCCAGAGCGGCTTTAAGGATGCGGTTACGCCCGTCTGCCAGCGTTTGCAAAGTGTTTTGGCTGTATACTTGCCCCAGCTGGCCGAGGAAGAGACCACGAAACTGTATGAGGATGCTCAAGATTTCTATGGACGCATCGGCTATGAGCCACAAACAACACTTCAGCTGGTCGCTCACATTCGCTTCCTGGACAATTGTCACCAAGAGCTTGATGAGCTCTTCTTAGTTATAGATTATATACATGATTTGTTGATAATCATCAAGGACTTTAATATACCGATTGATGATGAGCGCAAAGAGGACTACATGGACACGGAGGACTATCTGAATCGCACCAGGGAAACACTGGGCGAGATACTTGAGAAGCGGCAGGACTTTATCAACCAGCTCGACGAAGTAATGCAGGACGATATCAATGCTCTCAAAGAGGACATACACGAAGTGGCTATCGAGGCCATCGAAGATTGGCTACTTATGGTAAATAGAAATGCGAGATTCCCTCTATCCTAATACGATTCGCTTTTCCATATCATTTACATCATCAAAATGGATGAATGTATGATTGCAAAAATGAATATGCATTCAACAGGGTATCCTGAGTCGCCTATTCTAACTTGCTTTCTACCCAATCACAGAGCAAATCGGACCGCAATAAAGTAAATACGAAACTGGACGATCTGCTGAGCCGCATGAACGCGTGTCGGGAACGGGCAGATGAGCTAATTGGTTATCAAAAGGAATTCCAAATTGATCTAACCATGTACGAGGAGATGGACTCAGGCTTCTATGATATACGACAGCGACAAAATCTGTACAAGACATTGATAGACTGGGAAGAGGCACTTACCAGCTGGTTGGTATCCGACTTTAATGGTTTGCCCGTGGCTGATATGATTGAGCTCAACCTGAAGACCATCAAGAACTGCATGCAATTCCAGAAGTACTTGCCCCAAAACGATATTGTGCCGGTGCTGCAAAAGTCCGCCGAGGATTTCAAAGAGAAACTTCCGGTTATTGGCTATCTGCGTAATCCCAATCTGCGTGCGGTAAGAAACCAAATGAGAATCAAATAGAAATTAGTTTTGCTACTAATAATATTGCCTTTTATGCAGCGCCATTGGACTGAGATTGAGGATCTGCTGGGCAGAAAGTTCTTTCAGGAGCCCAACATCAAGATTTCCACCTACGAAGAGTCTCACGCCTTCGATGATGAAGCCAATGCAGAGGCTCTTATGCAAATCTCCTCTCAGGCAACGGGTGAAACCCAGCTGGAGAACATGCTCAAAGCCATTGAGACGATGTGGAAGGAAACGGAATTATCCATTGTACCGCATCATGATCAAAAGGATGTCTTCCTTCTTGCCGGTACCGAAGAGCTGCAGGCGGTCTTGGATGATGCCAATGTGAATATCAATACCATAGCCGCATCGAAATTCGTGGGACCCATCAAAGCGCGCGTGGATGAGTGGATAGCGGCTCTGGATCAATTTGGCAAAACCTTCGGTGGGTAATTAATATATAAAGAAGTGCATAGCCTATATAAACTATGTGTATACTTATACCTTAGAGGCTTGGATGGATTGCCAGGGCGCTTGGATCTACTTGGAGGCTATCTTTGCCTCTGCTGATATACAGCGCCAGCTGCCCAATGAAGCAAAAATGTTCAATCAGGTGGATAAGAACTTCAAGGAGATTGTCCGTCAGGCCAAAAAGGTTGCATTGGCACTGCCCACCATGTCCAGCGTAGAGGTCTACGACATGCTCATGGAGGACAATCGCCTACTCGATGCGATATCACGCGGCCTGGAAGCCTATTTGGAAGTGAAACGTGTCGTTTTTCCCAGGTGTGTAAGAGATTCAGATCCTCTTTCATTCGAGTATATATATATATATAAATAATATAATTCTTAAGATTCTACTTTCTGTCCAACGATGAGCTGCTTGAGATTCTCGCCCAGACGCGCATACCGCAGGCGGTGCAGCCCCATTTGCGCAAATGCTTCGATGCTATTTACCGGCTGGAGTTCGGCCAAAAGGAGAGTGGTGATGGCAAAATGGTACCCACCAATGATATTATTGCCTTTCTCTCACCCGAGGGCGAGAAGCTGCAGTTTGGCAAGGGCTTGAAAGCACGCGGCGCCGTCGAGGAGTGGCTGAGCAAAGTGGAAGATGCAATGTTTGTGTCCGTCAAGCGTTATATGCGCTTTGGATATCAGTGCTATGGAGCTAAGGAGCGTGACGAATGGTTTCAGGATCATCCCAATCAGGTGGTGCTCACCGTTTCCCAGGTGCAATGGGCCGCCGACATTCATCGCATCTTCGAGGGGAAAGAGAAGACAGCGATCAGCATCATTGAAAAGATGGCCAAGTTTGAGGTGAAATGTCTACAGGATCTCGGCGCACTGGCGGCCCTTACACGCAAAAACATAACCTCGCTATTGCGCAAGATCCTTTGTGCACTAATTACCATCGATGTGCATGCCAAAGACTCGGTACGCATGCTCATCGAGAAGGGCGTCTGGAGTCCGTAAGTATCCGTGAGAGAAATTGCCAATTGCTGAATTCGTTTGATGATTCTCTCTTATTTTTTTCGTCGCCAGCAACGACTTCAATTGGCTTAAGATGCTGCGCTTTTATTGGGCCATCGAAACAGAGACTGTCTTTTCGCGCATGGCCGCCGCTAATATACCCTATTATTATGAGTATCTGGGCGCTGGCGGTGTCCTGGTGCTGACCCCACTCACGGATCGATGCTATCTCTGCCTAATGGGCGCCTTTCAAATGGACTTGGGCGGTGCACCCGCCGGACCAGCCGGTACGGGCAAAACGGAGACCACCAAAGATTTGGCCAAGGCATTGGCTAAGCAGTGCGTGGTATTCAACTGCTCCGATGGCCTTGACTACAAGATGATGGGCCGCTTTTTCTCTGGCCTGGCACAGTGCGGCGCCTGGTGCTGCTTTGACGAGTTCAATCGTATTGATATCGAGGTGTTGTCTGTAATTGCCCAGCAGCTGATTACTATACGCACAGCCAAGGCCATGAAGGTGAAACGGTAAGCAATTCAAGCAAGGAGTTCATAAACACATTTAATAGAAATCCAGGAAATCGAATCCAAAGAACAGCTTATGACAGTTTCTAGATATTCCTCTGGTTATCGACGAATTTTTATGAAAATTCAAAGAAAATCTTGGATCATCTTAGTTAGATTCTAAGCCAACCCCAAGAAAAATCTAACAAGAATCCTATGTCAGTCTTGATTATTATTTTTCTCTTTCATCTTACTTAGCTTCATGTTTGAAGGTCGCGAGATTAAGATCAATCACTCATGCTGCGTCTTTATTACCATGAATCCGGGCTATGCTGGCCGCACGGAGTTGCCCGACAATCTGAAGGCTCTTTTCCGTCCCATATCTATGATGGTGCCCGATTATGCGCTGATCTCTGAGGTCATTCTCTATTCGGAGGGCTTTGAGAATCCCAAGATTCTGGCACGCAAGATGGTGCAGATGTACCAGCTCTGCAGTCAACAGCTCAGCCAGCAGAATCATTATGATTTCGGCATGCGAGCCGTCAAATCTGTCCTGGTCATGGCTGGCGCACTCAAGCGAGCTGCGCCCAACCAGCAAGAGGATATAACCCTGATTGCCGCTCTGCGCGACTCAAATATACCCAAGTTCTTGGCCGATGACGCGGTACTCTTCCGTGGCATACTTAGCGATCTGTTCCCGGGCGTCGACCTGCGCGACTCACAACATCCACACTTAGAGGCTAGCCTTCGACTTGGCCTGAGGCAAAAGAATCTACAGCCAGTGCCCACCACCATACGCAAGTGCCTGCAGCTATACGAGACGATGTGTGTGCGCTGGGGTGTTATGACAGTGGGTCCCACGGGGGGTGGCAAATCTGTGGTTCTGCATGCGCTGGAGTTTGCATTGGCACATCTATTCGAGAACGAGATAGCGGATCCCAACTTTCGACCTGTTGTCATACAAACAATGAATCCCAAGGCGGTTAGCATGAACGAACTGTACGGCTATGTGGATGCCAAGACGCTAGAGTGGCAGGATGGTCTACTTGGCCTGGCGGTGCGCACTGCCACCCTTGTGGAGGGTAGGTTTGTGGCCAGCTGATGGTTTTTTGGTTAATTTTTCGATTTTGATCTCACAGAGGAAATCCATCAGTGGATCATGTGCGATGGCCCAGTGGATGCCGTATGGATTGAGAACTTAAACACTGTGCTGGATGATAATAAAATGCTGTGTCTGGCAAACTCTGAGCGTATTAAGCTAACAGCCTGGATACACATGCTCTTCGAGGTACAGGATCTGCTGCAGGCCTCGCCAGCGACGGTCTCTCGTTGCGGCATGGTGTACGTCGATCCTGGAGATCTTGGCTGGATACCGCTGGTCGATACGTGGCGCGAAGTTGACATGAGCAAAAAGCTAACCCCAGTCCTAGATGAATTCCTCTATCAACTGTTCATCGGCTATTTCGAGAAGGCGCTAAAAATCGAACGCAAACGGGCCTCCTACACCATACACCAAGTGCTCGGCTCCAAGGTTCGACTGTGCTGCTCGCTAATCTCGTCGCAGCTGGAGGGCGTAAAGTGGAGTACGCTGGCCGACGAGCCGGCCAAGAATCTGATCACAAAGATCTTTGCTTGGTGCGTGCTCTGGGCAATCGCGTCCAATTTAAAAGATGCCGAGAAATTGTCCTTCGAGGACTTTTGGGGCAGGGCCATGGCCGTTCATCCGAATATGGAGTGAGTATCAGAAAAAAAAAAAATATTTATAGGAAATATCTCATATTCGTCTGAATGCAGCATGCCACCACGCACCCTGTGGAATTATCGGGTGGATCTAGAGACCAACGATTGGGGTGGCTGGAACGAAATAATGCCCAAGTTTAAATTCAGATCGGATATATCCTACTACGATATGCAGGTGCCAACGGTGGATACCACCAAATATGGGTGAGCTAATTAACATTTTATTACTGGACATGGGTCAACCGGCGCTTTCTTGGCTTTAAAATTGTAAGCCTAAACTCGATGTTTGTGAATTATTGTTTTTAAGATAAGTAGGGGCAAAAGTATTTCTGGTTCGATCTCTTGCGATTATATTGCTCAAGCTGGAGTAAAGATTTAAGCTTCGAAACGAAACGCGTAGACAGCAGATTTAATTCATCCAGCTCTTATGATTCTCAATTCTCAAAATCGATATTTCTTGATTTTGGGAATATTTATTTTTTTAATTTCAAGTCTCTAGCTCTTCTAGTCTAGAGCGCGACTATGACTGCCGACCAATAAGTATCATGCAACGACTCGAGATCAATTTGTAAGCCAACTTATTGCATGAACAATATTTCTTAGCTATGTAGCTGATCTGCTATTCAAGCGAGATTTCCCAGTGATGGTAACCGGCGATACAGGTGTGGGCAAGACTGTGCTCGCCATCAGCTGCATGAAGCGTCTGGCCGAGGGTAAGGTCATACCCGTGGTGCTGAATTTCTCGGCTCAAACAAGCAGTATGCGCACCCAGGAGATGATCGAAGGGCCGCTGGAGAAGCGTAAAAGGACACAATTGGGTGCACCGGTGGGCAAGACGGTCATCATATTCATTGACGATGTCAACATGCCCAAATTGGATACGTACGGCAGCCAGCCGGCCATCGAACTGCTCAGGTTTGCATAGATCCATAGCTAAAAAGGTCAGGTATCATTTTTATGATTGTAAATATTGCAGACAGTTTCTGGACTTTAAGGGTTTTTACGATCGCGAGAAACTGTTTTGGAAGGACATTCTGGATGTGGTATTGGGCTGTGCCTGTGCACCGCCCGGTGGTGGACGCAATTTGTTGACGCCACGCTTTGTTCGGCACTTTGCCCTATTTTCGCTACCCAAGCCCAATGAGGAGACCCTAACACAAATCTTCAATGGCATACTGTTGGGCTTCCTGCAGACTTTCTCGTCGGCTATCCGTGCGCTCTCCGAATCCATTGTGCACGCCTGTGTGGATGTTTATATGCGTGTGACTAAAGTTATGCTGCCCACACCGGATCGTTCCCATTATATATTCAATTTGCGTGATCTTTCCAAGTGCATACAGGGCATACTGCAGGCGAACAACATGTACTACAATATGGAGAATCAAATATTGCGTTTATTTTACCATGAGACAACGCGCGTCTTTCATGATCGTCTGATCAACACGGAGGACAAGGCGATCTTTCAGGGCCTGATGAATGATGTGTGCAAATATCATTTCGAACGCGAGGTCGTCGGCCGCGAGGAGCCGGCCATACTGTTTGGCGACTTTATGGTCTTTGGCAAGCCGAAACACGAACGCATCTACGAGGAGGTCAAGGATCATGCCAAGCTGGAGAGCGTGCTCAATGATTATATTGCCGACTACAATTCCATGTCGACGGGCAAGTATATGAAATTGATACTATTCCAGGATGCCATGGAGCATACGGTCCGACTGGCACGCCTCTTGCGCAGCGATCGTGGCAATGGTTTGCTTGTGGGCGTCGCCGGTATGGGTAAACAATCCCTGACCCGTCTGGCCTCGCACGTCAACGAATACAACTGTTGGCAAATCGAAATGAGGCGCAACTATGATCTCAACTCCTTTCACGAGGATCTGCGCGTTCTCTACCGCATTGGGGGGGTAAGCGACAATTTGACGCGAATTTCTGCAGCATTATAGTAAAGTTAATATTTCTGTTAGATTGAAAACCAGCCCGTTACGTTTCTGCTAATTGACAGCCAAATCGTTGAGGAGGAATTCCTGGAAGATATCAATAATATTCTAAACTCTGGCGAAGTGCCCAACTTGTTTGAGGGCGATGAATACGAGAAGGTAATACTGGATGCCCGAGATGCCTGCAATGAATCCAAAAAGGATGAGGTGACTAGTGCCGGACTTTTTATCAATTAGCCTTTTCCTTCAAACATTTCCCCTTCACAGAGCTGCCCACGCGATGAGATCTACAAGTTCTTTATCAATAGAGTGAGAAACAATCTTCATGTGGTCATGTCCATGAGTCCGGTGGGTGATGCTTTTCGGCGACGTTGCCGCATGTTCCCCTCACTGGTCAATTGTACCACCATTGACTGGTTTACCAGTTGGCCCACCGAAGCGCTATATTCGGTGGCCTTGGGACTGCTGACAAAGATAGCTCCGAATATGAATGAGAGAGTGGCTCTGGCCAGCACAACCGTCTTCATGCACAAGGTGCGTTTCAAGCATTGTGTTTCTCTTTTCCCAATAATTAGGCAAAACTCCGTTTTGTAGACCGTGGAGGAGGCCTCTGTGCGTTTCTACAAGGAGATGAAGCGGCATTATTATACCACGCCCAGCAGTTACCTAGAGCTGTTAAAACTCTATCAGAGCCTGCTCAAGCTTAAGACGCAGGAGATTGTAGCCAAACGAAAGCGCATTGCCAGCGGTCTGAACAAGCTGCTGGAGACCAACGAGGTGGTAAGTAGAGCAGCTAGTGCAGATGCCAATTAAAAGCACAGTCTAAGCGCGTGTCTTCCCTTTAAGATTGCAGTCATGCAAAAGGAGTTGGAAGTAATGGTGCCGCAACTAGATGAAAAGTCTGCCATGATGAAGGGCTTGGTGGATAATCTAACCAAGGAGACAAAACAGGCTGACGCTGTCAAACAGAGCGTCATGGAGGATGAGGCCAATGCCAAAGAGAAGGCAGCCATTGCCCAGGCCATATCCGAAGACGCTAGCAAGGATTTGGAGACAGCCATGCCGGCTCTCCGTGATTCCGAGGAGGCGCTCAAGGGTCTAACTAAGGCCGACATTAATGAACTGAAATCGTTTACCACACCGCCAGCCCTAGTGCAGTTCTGTATGGAAGCTGTTTGCATTTTGTTGGGTGCCAAGTGAGTATTGGGAAAAACAAAAAGTCAAACAGCTTTAGAAGTGATTTCCGCTGATAATCCATAGACCCACCTGGGCCTCAGCCAAAGCAATTATGGCTGACATCAACTTTATCAAGCGACTCTTCGAATACGACAAGGAACACATGAAGGACGACGTGGTAAAGAAGGTCAAAAAGTACATAGAACACAAGGACTTTGTGCCAGCTGTAAGACGAATCAAATGCGTTTTTCTTTTCTCATCCTAAAAACGTGTCTAATTCAATTGACAGAAATTCGAGAAGGTATCGAAAGTAGCCAAGTCCGTGAGCATGTGGGTCATTGCCATGGACAGTTTCAACAAGGTCTACAAGGTGGTTGAGCCAAAGATAAAGCGAAAAGAGGCCGCCGAAGCGGAACTGAAGGATGTCATGAAGGTGCTTCGCCAGAAACAGAAAGAGCTGGCCGCTGTTGAGGCTAAAATACAATCGCTGCGCGACAGCCTGGAGGAGAAACAGCGCGAATTCCAGGTGATACAGGACAATGTGGATCTAACGTACGGTCGCATCAATCGTGCTGGACGCCTTACCTCGGCACTCGCCGATGAACAAGTGCGCTGGCGTGAAACTGTTAAATCACTTACCGCTGATCTTGGCTGCGTACCTGGCGATGTGCTGGTTGCCGCCGCCTGCGTTGCCTATTTGGGCGCCTTCTCGAATCAATATCGTCGGGACATGAGCCAGCTGTGGGTGGACAAGTGCCGGGAGTTTAGCATTGCCTCGAGCAAGGAGTTCAATCTGCTTAAGGTGTTGGGCGATGCGTACGAGATGCGTCAGTGGAATGTCGACGGCTTGCCGAAGGATAACATATCCATTGAGAATGGCATTTATGCAACGCGTGCCTTGCGTTGGGCACTCATGATCGATCCGCAGGAGCAGGCCAATCGCTGGATACGCAACATGGAGAAGGCCAACAATCTGCAGGTAATCAAAATGACAGACGCCTCCATGATGCGGGTGCTGGAGAACAGCGTGCGTCAGGGCAATCCGGTGCTGCTGGAGGAACTGGATGAGACTATAGATCCCTCGCTGCGACCCATACTTCAGCGTGAGACGTACAAGTTTGAGGGACGCGTCTATCTCAAGCTGGGCGACCAGATCATTGACTACGATGATAATTTTAAGCTCTATATGACCACCAAGCTGCCCAATCCGCATTATCTGCCCGAAGTGTGCATCAATGTGACGCTGGTCAACTTTCTGGTCACCGAAAGCGGCCTCGAGGATCAGTTGCTGGCGTAAGTAAGCCAAGGATTGGATGTAACTTAACTTAGTTGTAATCCTTGACTTACAGAGACATTGTCGCCATTGAGCTGCCCGCCATGGAGGCGCAACGCAACGATCTTGTGGTCAAGATCAATGCGGACAAACAGCAACTGTTATCGCTGGAGGATAAGGTGCTCAAGCTGCTCTTCAACTCCGAGGGCAATATTTTGGATGATGAGGAGCTTGTGGAAACGCTCAATGATGCCAAGGTAAGATCCTGACCAAATGCTGGGCCAGCAATCTAATCTGTTTCTGCACACGCTCAGGAAACTTCATTGATTATTGCCGCACGTCTCATTGATACGGAAGAAACGGAGAAAGTTATTACAGCTTCGCGTGAACGTTATCGCATCCTTGCATCTCGTGGTGCCATTCTCTACTTTGTTGTCGCCGGCCTGGCCGAGATCGATCCCATGTACCAGTACAGTCTGAAGTATTTTACGCAGGTCTTTTGCAATGTACTACGCCTTGATCATCCCGTCATGACTGTCGAGGTGCGCATCTCCACGCTGATGGTTGATGAACTGAGGGCTATCTATGATAATATATCGCGCGGTCTATTTGAGAATCACAAGCTTATCTTTAGCTTCCTGCTGGCGCTGTCTGTGGAGCGACAAGAGGGTCGGGTTAGTGAAGAAGAGTTCAGTTTTCTAACTCGTGGTGCTGTTGGCGCTGTGCGTTCCAAGGCGCAGCCACCGGGCTTGAAATTAAGTCAAGTTGAATGGGATTCGGCCTTATATCTGGAACAGCACTTTAAGGAAGCCTTTACGGGCTTCTCCAGCGAGCTGAACAGGCCGTTCTTTTTGCAGCTGCAGGACAACAAAGAAGTGTTCGACTTTGCTAACACCAAGGAAGAGCCCACTGATAAATGGAACAAGCGTCTGCATGTCTTCCACAAGCTCATGTTCGTAGCCACCTTCCGGAAGCCGCGTTTCCTGCTCAATGTGGTTAGCTACCTGCATTCAACCGTGGGTAAATACTTTACGGAAGTCTCCGCCTCGGGCACACAGCTGAGCACAGTGTAAGTAGAGCGCTTTTGTGGTGTTTTCCATTTCAGCTGAGAATGCTGGCTATGTTTTTCATTCTCCAGCTATCTGGACACCTCGGCTATAACACCATTGATCTTTGTACTGTCCACCGGCTCGGATCCCATGTCGGGCTTCCTTAAGTTTACCAATGAAATGAAATTTACGGAAAAGTATTATTCCATATCATTGGGTCAGGGCCAGGGTCCACTCGCCGAAAGTTTGATTGATAAGAGTTTACGCCTGGGTCACTGGGTCTTTCTGCAGAACTGTCATCTGGCCACCTCCTGGATGCGTGTGCTGGAGAGCGTAGTACGCAATCTGACGCTGGGCATAACCAAGGCGCATCCCGACTTTCGTTTGTATCTCTCATCCATGCCCTCACAGTCCTTTCCCATCAGTGTGCTACAGAATTCCGTTAAGATTACCAATGAACCGCCCAAAGGCATTAAGGCGAATGTTATTGGTGCGCTGAGTGACCTGAAGACGGAGTTCTTTGAGGAGCACATCCAGAACGGCACATGGCGCGCGATTGTCTTCGGATTATGCATGTTCCATGCGGTGCTTCTGGAACGTCGCAAATTTGGCCCACTTGGCTGGAATATCACATACGAGTTCAGTGAGAGTGATCGCGAGTGCGGACTGAAAACTCTGGACTTCTTTATCAATCGTGAGGTCAAGGCCGACATACCTTGGGAGGCCATACTCTATATCAATGGCGACATCACCTGGGGCGGTCGAGTTACCGACTACTGGGATCTGCGCTGCCTGCGCACAATATTAACCATATTCTCATCGGAGCGCATTATACAGCCGGATTATAAATATTGTCGCGGCGATTCGTACTATAGAGATCCGCAGGGCAAAACGCTTAAGGAGTACGCAACGTTTGTGCTTGGCTTTCCGGTGCTAGAGGATCCCGAAATCTTTGGCATGAACCAGAACGCCAACATTGTGTTCCAGACGAAGGAGACGGACTTCTTTATTAGCACACTGCTACTTGGTCAGCCGCGTTCCGCTGCCGATGAGGGTCAGGCCATGGAGAATGATCTCTGCCAGCAGATTATAGCACGCATACAGTCGTCCCTGACCAATAAGATACAGCGTGAGCCCATCCACGGTACCCTGACCGTGGTAGGTAGCAATAGCTGCTAATCCCAATCCAGACTCCGAATATTTACACGACTTTATTCCAGCTGGATAGCAAGGGTCAGATGCCGTCGTTGACTACCGTCTTGGTGCAGGAGATCGATCGCTTTAACATTGCGCTAGGCATTGTCCATGATAGCTTGAGCAATCTGTCGAAGGCGATTAAAGGTATAGTTGTCATGTCTGAGGATCTGGAGCTGGTGTTCCGTGCACTGTTGGCTAACCAGGTGCCGGCCATGTGGGCCAAGCGCAGCTTTCTGTCCATCAAACCGCTGCCCAATTATATTGTGGACTTTCAGCGTCGCATCGACTTCATTCAACAGTGGGCTGAGAATGGTGCGCCACGTTCCTATTGGATAAGCGGCTTCTTCTTTCCGCAATCCTTCCTCACCGGCATATTGCAGACATATGCACGTCGTCGCATCCTGCCCATTGATTCGCTGAAGATTGACTTCCAGGTCATCGAATTGGAGCTAGTGCAGCAGGATTTCTTCGAGCTGCACAATGCACATGGCAATGTACGTCCGCAACTAGACATATTTAATCAAATTATATTTGATCAATTCACTCTATATCCCGACACAGGACGGACGTCTCTATGGCAATCTGGAGGAGTGCACGGATGCAGAGATCAATGTGCATGGCATCTTTGTGGAGGCCGCTCGCTGGGATCTGAGCAAGGGTGGATTGACTGACGCCCGCTTTGGCGAGCTATATTCGCGCATGCCCGTCGTACGCTTCATGCCCTGCCTGGAGATTGGCACCACGCTCCGCTATGAGGCGCCGCTCTACAAGACCCAGCAGCGTTCCGGCGTGCTATCCACAACTGGTCACTCGACTAACTTTGTCCTGTCCATATTGTTGCGCAGCAAAAACGATCCCGAGTTCTGGATAATGCGTGGCACTGCACTTGTCTGTGCCGTCTTGGAGAATGTCTCCTAACGTTTGATGCGGGATACTATACATATATTTATGTATATATTCATCTATATACATATACATATATATATTAGGCGTCTTTATTTCGTACAATTCGTTTCAATTATGTTTTGGGTTCTCTTTGAGGCATAACCCAAGTAATACAATTTCTATATGTATGTGTATATGTTTTTCATTCGTATTTTCTAGAGTTGTGTACTATATATCTAGCTCAATGAGCGCGGGTATACATATTATTATTAACAGTTCTTAGTTCAGTTCTGTTCAATATAGTTAATCAATTGGGTATATACAACATTTAAATATATGTATACATATATATATATTAAACAGAATACAACACAAGAAACGGCAGAAAAGAAATAATGAAATTTGTGTTGCTTAAGTTAAGACAAAAGGCCGCTTACAAAAAGAACTCTCTACTTAGTACATAACGTTACACGTCTGAAGTCTGTCTTTTAAATGTATATTATAAAAATGTATGCAACATGTTCCCTAAACCATTTATACAATTTAGATGCCAGCACCCAAAGGCAGGCCAATTAACAAAATTTATCTTTAACGAACTTTAGGCGACTTTTCGGAACATTTAAAAAAGCGTGTTGATATAAAAATGTTACTCGAATTGTTTGAACAAATAAAAAATATATAATAATAAAGCACAACTCTAAAAACTACTAAGTACATTTAGTTGTACACACAATTATTGACGCTACATGTTCAATATTGTTTCAAAAATAATTGTCTAAATCTTAATTAAGGTTTTTCTTTTTTATCTTTTTTTTTTTTTTTTTTTTTTTTTTTTGTTATTGTTGTCATAAAGGAATGTGTTATTGCTATTGGGTATTTGCCAATGTGTTTTTGTTTTTGCTTCTGTTGTCTAGGGTTATTCTTTTTTAGTAGGAGCTTCTAAGTAATACTGCCGCTCTATGGGAATGGATGGGAATTTGTTGTTTTGGAGTCGGTTTAAGGTTCGTTTAAGGGTCGGGTTTGTTTACAAGGTGCCTTGGTCCTTTGTTAGATGCGTTCATGGAATGATAATTTAGTGTTTAGTTCAACTTAGGCTCTAAATATTTATGTTATCTGGGTGGCGTATACGAACATGCTTTTTTAAGTACTTAGTAACTAGCTGTAAACATTAACTAAAAACAACAAAATACGATTAATAATTATACAAATATTAGTAGAGTTGCCACAGAAACAAACAAAAAAAAAAAAACAAAAAAAAAAAATGTTTAGAAAATAAACGTTTGCTAGGAAGTTGTGTGGATGGGGTATGAGGGGACCACAAAAAAATTTTTTTTAGAAGGTGGGCATGGGACTCATCTTAAAGCTTTTTACTGCCATCAATATCGATGCTCAGATCCGGTAGCGAGCCGCGTGCATGCAACAGGCTACGCTTCTCCGGATCCTTGATCTTCTTTGGCTTGGGTCTGTTCGTTTTTGTATACCGATTGATCACACCATCCGTCTCATCCATCATACGCAATATAAGCGTCTGATCAGATGAGTCTAGCGGCGCTATTGAGATATCTCGCACGGCACGGAATTTACCGCAATTGTTCAGATGCTCGTTCTCCAAGCGGAAAAAGTTCCAAACGAAGCGACTGTCAAAGAACGTAAATTGAGTGACAATCAAAGCATAGAAATAGTCGGAATCAAGCATTACCGAAAGACTTCCAGAATGCCCGTTATGGAGGTCATTATATCGCCGCTCACAATTTTCATTTCAGTCAAATAGAAGGACAGCGCCCAGATGAAACGCAGCGCCAAATCCTCCAATATGGCAAAGTAATAAAAGCCCTGATCGGAAAACATTAAACCAAAATATTATATAATGGATTTTAGTTAGCGCCTGGTTACGCACCGTAGACGAGTAGACAACCTCCTCGCGTAGGAAGGTATTCTCGCCCGCATTCTTATCAAACAAGCCCCAATCCATTTTAATATCCCAGGTGTACGAATAGCAGGACGAGACTATGGAAGCCACAATCCACAGCCAAGTGTATGGATTATCAAAGGTGCTCGCATAGTTGGCTGGCATGCAATAGAAAGAGATAGCTTCATGTCTGAGCAAAAAGAGATACGACAAACAACTACTTACGACTGTTGAAGCTCTTCAGCGTGGCGAAGATGACCACCATAAAGGTTGTTGAGTATTTGCCCGCATTGACCAGATGGGGAAAGGCTTCGCGGGTGTCGCGATAACGTCGCAGGCATTGCGCAAAACGAAACCAGGCAGGCAGGCAATTGACAATGGGTCGCACGATGAAATCCTTTTCCATGCATATGGACGCATCCACCGCCTCGGACCAGTTGCCATTGGTAAAGTAAAAGCATATGAGATACTCAAAATCCAAAATGGCAGTGGCCAGGGAATTCAGCTGATCGCCCAGCCAGAAATCGGCAAAGCCCACATGAAAGAACGGCGCCGCCAGGCAGCGTCCCGTGATGCGCAACAGCCAAAAGCGTGCATCATGATGCAGCACATGAAACGGATTGGCCAGAAATATCACCATTATGAGCGTCAAGGTTAATGGATTAATAAAGGCCGGTATGCTCAGGCTGGCGCTGTACAGAAAGCTCAGCATGCTCAGTGTCCAGACGACGCCAAATATGGCCGCCAACTCCATGAGATGCTGCTCCGACAGATGATTTCGCGGATCCAGCTCGAAAATAAGCACATGATTAACACCAGACGAACGCCAGCCGTAAATGTTGACGCCAATCAGAAAGATAAACTCAATGATCAGCAATGGGCCGCGATACAGGCGAAATGTGACCTTCAGATTCTCTCCGGTTATGTCGTGAAATATCGCAGACAGCACCACCACAATGCCCAGCACAATGAAGCTGCCGGAGAAGAGGCCCACCTTGAATGTTGTCCACGGGCTCTGCTGTTCGCCCAGCGGCGGCACACGCAATCGTTTCATTGCCCGCTGTCGATCGCCGCCCTCCAGCTCTCCCGTGACCGTCGTCTCAGTTTCATTGATAATGTTGTCGATGTCTTTGTTGATAAAGAAATGCGAAGCCTCCACATATTCCTGACGCCACTTGGCGCCACTGTCCACGCGCAGCAGCTGGAATTACAAATGAAAAGCAATTGAAATAATATTTCTAAAAATTGATAAGCTTAAACTAAAAAGGCTGACTAATTTGCTAAAATAAAACTATTAAATTAAATTGTCAAATATTTCAATTAAAGTGAATTAAAGAAATAAACTTTTAAACATTTAACAACTCTCACCTTATCATGCTTTTTGAGTATTTTACGAAAACCCGTATGATTTAGATTCTGATAGTTCTGCAGCAGAATAAGACTCAAATAGAACTCGCTGAAGGCCAGTTTCAGTTCGCGGGCCTTGCGATCCGGCAGAGCCGCGTGTCTTTTCTGGCCCTTGGACTTCTTGGCGGTGCGTTCGGACTCCTCAATGCTGGACTTTAGCTCCGCATTGAGTGTAGCAAATTTACGCGTTGCCTCCGCCAACTTTTCCGAATAGAAAGTGTTTATCTTTTTCAGCTCCTTGTCGCAATAGTGAAAGAAATTCTCATCGAAGTTCGCGAAATGCCGTTTAAGCACCTCATCCTCCACGCTGTCCACTGAGGGTGCCTCCTCGACGGCCAAATAAAGCATGGCCTTCATTTCCTGTCGAACAAATAGCATAAGGAGCATGAGAATGTATATGAGATATATATATGATATATAGGCTGGAACTGTTTCGAATAGGAATTGCAGCCCCGATACACTGAGCCTAAAAAGTATGTTGTTATGCACATCTACGCTCCTTCCTAATCTTCAATGCAGCTGTTTACACAGCTTTAATATCAAAGTATATAAATATTGATTTATTTATTTATGCAATAAATGAAGCAACAATTAACAATTTTTTTGTTTCTACAAATCAACCAGATTAATCTCAGCTGAGAGGAACATACATTTTCTGAATCTCTTTCCTATACCCTCTCTTTCCATTCTGAGCTGCGTTCTCGATTAACTCTGATGTGAATAGTTCGATCTCTTTGAAATTTTCAGGACTTGAAAGAGGGCGTCACGAAGTGTACATAGACTAAAGCCCAGGACTGTACCCTCAGCATAAATTTCCAATTTGAGGGTATCCGTAATGTATCTGTGTATACTCTATGAGAATCACATGCTTATCTTGGTTAACTAGATTCTTTTAAGCACTGAGATATAGAAAAAACCTAAGCCTAAAAACCGTTATATATGATTTTCTTACAATATTTGAGCATTAAGAGTAACTAGGTTGCAAATTTTTAATATCTAGCTTTTGAAAGTTCTGCAATCGAAGCCTTATTACATTAAGATTGAGAATATGTAAAGAATTCTTTAAGCTGAATTGAAGTTAGTTCAACTTTAGTTTAGCAATGTTTCCCTCTACAATCTTTGTATAACCACATCTAGAACTATATCTTTGATTATCCTCGTTTGGTGTTGGGCTATATGGCAAGTCTCACCTCATAGTTGATGTACTGCTTGCGCCATTCGGGCGTTATGTGCGCCGACAGATGCTCCGCGAACTTCATGACGGCGGCCTTCTTCTTGTTGTCCTCGTTGCTGCTGCTGCTGCTGCTGGCTTCGTGTCCCTGGCTTGGTTCTTATCCAACTGCGAGCCAGCACTGCAAACAAACAAACCGAAAGAAAAAAAAAACAAACAATATGAATTCAAAATGAATCGTGGCTAATTTAACGCCCGACTGCTGACGCCATGGGGCCGAGCCGAGTCGAGCCAAGCCGAAATCAATGCATATTCAGGCAGCGAGAGTATATTATAGCATGCATGTAGATAATATCCAATCAGGCAAATTGGTAAAAACCTTGTAAAGCAGTTGGCAACTGTGTGCGCTAGCGACTGATAAGACAAGCAAAGGTTTCTATTTGAATACGCTTGCAATGTGTATTATAAAATATGTAAAGCATTGAATAGAGCTCTAAACCAGCTCTCTAAATATCATTTATTCCCAAGTACTATATACATACGTAGATGTCTTCATATCTGCCCTGTCTATGCGAACTGTCTCAGTTTTGAAGCTGTTTTTATAAAACTTGGCTTAGATAGATAGCGTTACATATATATGTTGGAGTCGACCGAATCGGATCAGTATACTATAAAGCTGTCATAGGAACGATCGTTAGATA